CAGAGCACGTCTTTCCTTTCACTTGTGAATGCAGGTCATTGTTCTTGTTATTCAGATTAGCGGCAGCAGCATTATTATTACTATTTTCGTTATCACCTATACCACCACAGTAGCTTCCCGGTGGTCCCATTGCCTTTAGTTTCTTTCCCTCCATCCTCCTCAGTGGTTCTGTGGGAATATTGTAAGATTGGCTTTTGTTGCCGTGATAAGAGCAGTACTTCTTCATGTGTGCAGTGCTTACCAGTTACTGAAAATACCCATCAGTGTGCAGTTGATATCACGTGTTATCAGTCCCCGTTCTCGTGCCCAGCTTCTAAAACTGAGGCGGATACTAGATCTGTCTTTGAGAAGCTCTCCGACTGCAGGGAGTAAGGTCACCAGATAACATAAATAACCAGTCTTCACTGTTTGATTTCGAATTATTTTGAAGGTATCAGGGAAGGTATTGAGAGCATCATTTGACAGGTAAGACAGTTAGGGCTCTGAAAGATGCACATAGTAGTAACATTAAGTTATGTCTATAGAAACTTAGTGAAAGCTAGACATTGTTCTGAGCACTATATGCATCAAAGTTATTTAATCTCCACAATGGACTCTGATACAGTATTTTCTCCCTCGTACAGACGGGAGACTCTTCCATGTTTAGGATAGCAAAGCTCTGTGAGACACAGACTAGTGGCTGGTGCAGGGCTGCACTGCACGTGGCGGAGCTGTGGCTTGAACACAGACAGCCTGACCCAGAGCTCACGCGCATGGTCATTGTTCTACGTTGCCTTTCGCTTTTCCTTGTTACGCCGCCCTATGGCTTCTGTTGTCTGTAAAATAAACTTTGTAGAAAGTCAAATCCTTCTTGATGTTGGCTGTGTTTCTAATGCTTTTGGTGCTTTTTCTGCTGTTATCTCCCACTCCCTTCTCGTTTTTAGGGAATGTACACAAGCCACATATTCCTTCCCATAAAACTGTGGCAGTGGTGTGGCAGGAATAAGAGCAGGGGCTTGCTCACGGGATTGAGTCTGTAACATGGAGCCCGGGCAGGCGCAGTGTCTCCTGGGATTTCTCTGTGCTGATGGGCAGGTTTCTTCGAAGTGCTCACGAGTAGTCTTAGCTTTCCTTTCCTTGGAATCTGCTGATTCACAGGCTGCAGAGGAAATCTGATTAGCTCAGAGCTCGGCGAGCCTGTCAGCAGGATTCAGGTGTCCACAGCTGGTTCTGGCCAAAAGGGTGTCGGTACCTAGTGGGCATGGCACTAACTGTCCCATGTGATGCATCTTATTTGATCTTTACTTTCTCCCTGCTTTTTTAATATAAGAGAAAATAAGAGGTCGTGTTTGTTACTGGCTAGTAGTAGAGTCCTTACTATGTCTCCAGGCCTTTTTTGAGATAGAGTCTCAAAAGTTGCTAAGTTGTTAATGCTGGGATTGATCTTGCGATTCTCTTGCCTCAGCCTCTTGGAATGCTGGGTTTACAGGCCCTGCACCACATCTGGCAATAAATCAGATTTGTTAAAAGCATAATTACAATGTCATTATCAGATCTAGAACTAAATTAGAACAATTCCTTAATAACGCCACATATCTGTTCTGTATACATTTTTTTTTTCATTTGCCTTTATTTAAGTGTATAGTTTCAAAATAGGGTTTCAGTTGTCTTTTAACTAACGGCCACGTACATCATGGTTGCTTTTTGTGTCTTCGTTTTCTTTTGATCTTCAGGCTCTTCTTGAACCCTCTGCTTCATGCTCCTCTTTTCCTCTGAGAGACAGAGTGGTGTTATGCTTAAAGTTACCGCTCTGTGTTTGTGTTACAGTTCTGCCACTTGCTACGTGAACTACTCAACCTGCTTGTGCCTGAGTTGCTCCTGTCAAGTGGCACCTACTTTTGGGAGGCATTGGAAGGTCAGAAGCCCGCAGAGCTGAGCGGAGCTGGGCCAGCACAAGCTGTAGAAGTGTTAGCTGTTGACCTGGAGACAGAGGGCTGCTTAGAGACCTGGCGGGAGTCCCCGGGCTGTGGACGTGGGTGCAGGAAGGCTTGGGAAGGGGAAAGATGGCAGTCACTGGGCTGCAACTCCTGCTACGTGCATAGCTCCGTTTCTTCCTTTTGCTTCCTTCTGGGTTCTTAATTATGCTTCTGTTAGATGAGGTTGATGCAGAGCAGAATTTGAAATAGGTAAGGTATTATTTAGTGCAAGTAACTTCGCCATTGTCCTTTCATGTCGGGTGTTCTCTGCTTCTGTATTTATTAAGTTTGGTATTCTCTCCCAGAAGTCATTTTAACTTTTTATGGCATTATCTGGGCTTTCACAACCTGTGATCTCCTAAGTAGAGCCTTTCAGCACTTTATAAATATGTCATAGACTTTTTATATTCTTTTGTTCCCTACCAGGAACACACATTCCAGTCTTCAGAATAGTACAATCAGTTTTTATTCACTTAAGGAGCAGTAGTAATTTGACACTTGCTAATATGTAACAAATTATATCGGGAGCAGTAATTAACAATTGCAGCTGTTCTAATTATACTGTAACCTTGATGCTTTTTAAAAAATTAAGACTTAAGTTCTGCATATAATACTGGAAAGTAATATTCTGCATTAAGCAGGCCTGCCTTCTGAACCATGGGTATTTACGCATAATAAGGCTAAATGAATGAGAACATCAAAGTGGTCTCTGCTACAGTATTGTCTGGTGTCATGATTTGTTAGAGTAGCCTTAAACTATCTATCCTTACCAAACTGGGCACATCCTATAGGCATTACAATTAGTATCAAAATGCCCTGGGCTCCAGTTGTTTCTGGCTATATGATTTGTGAGGACTCATTTATGAGGACTCATTTCCCCAGCTGGACAGCATAAGCGCCTCCCTGGCAAGCACGGAGTCCTGAGTTTGATCCCTTGTGCAGCATGCTGTGCTGGCCCTAGAACCCTGGAACTAGGCATGGTGGTGAACACCTGTAATCTCAGCACTGGGGAGGCTGAGACAACAGGATCACTATGAGTCTGAGTTGCATAGTGAGACCCTATGTTAAAAGAATAAATAAGTTAAAATTAAAAAGAAAAAAAGCTCTTAAGAAACACCTCAACTTTCTCGTGTGAAAAGCAGGGTTTTAATGACTCCTCACCCTAAATGATTATTTAAATGAGATCCAATACAAAGCCTTTTGTCAGGCTTGGCACTGAGTAAAAGTGAGCTCCATGTTATTGTTATTGAGACTAATAAGCGATCCAGTTTACAACTTCATGCCTGTGCTCCCCAACTTGAGTGGAGTCCTCGTCGTCTCCCACTGTGTGTGCCTTGTTACAGCGTATACCGCACACACTTTGTACCAACTACTCAATGACAGTCTGCCATTCCCCTGGGGGCAGGGCTGCTGACACACTTGGCCTTGTCTCTTTAGGGCTTGGGGTGCACAGCTAGTGAGCAAGTAGAGCCTCCCCTTCTAAGCCAGTGGCTGTCAATCAAGATCAGGGTGGGGTAGAGTTATTCCCTAGAGGAGATGTGGCAGGGTCTGGTGACCTGTTTTGGGGTGTCACAACATGGTGGGGTGTAGGTTGCTACTGACATCTACTGGGTAGTAGCTAAGGATGGTGCTAAACATTTATAGTGTACCTGACATTTCAGCAGTGAATGATCACTGGAGCAAATGCTGAGAAACCGTAGTCCAAGGCAACCTGGGTACATGGGCCGTAACCTGGTGGGAAAGGTATGAACCTGCGATAGACCAGTCTGTGTGTGGCCTGCAGTTTTCTCAACTGTGGAGGAAAAGAATTTCACTTCTTAAGGGTTATTTGGAAAGAAAGGGAGATCATGCTTGGCTAGTGACTGCCTGTTCAGATTCACTTGGAGATTCCAGCCATCCATTGTCCTTTCTTGCCTGAGAGGAACACCCCACAGTACGTCTTGCCTCTCCCGACACCAGAGTGAAAGTTCAATTCCTGTCTCTTCATTGCATTCAGGACACAAACAAGTGACCTAACTTAGCCAGCCACGTGCTCACGTGTGCAAGATCAGTGGGGAAGAGGGCAGGGTGAGGAAGCAGTGCATGCGAAGCTTCTCATTTCCTTTTACCTGAGAGGCAGCCAAGGTAGAGATCGGCTTTTCCTGTGAGGCCTACATGGATTTCTTGTGAAGACATTCTGGGGCAGTTTTGGGCACTGCTGGTAGTGACTGGGCCTCAGGATGATTTTCCAGCTTTCTTAATGAAATAGTGGTTATCTCATAGCATTTTAACAAACTATTTTGTTTTCTTAGCCTGTTGTCTTCTCTTGCCTGGTTCTGAAGTCAGCATATGTTGGATCTTTTTTCTTTCCATTTATGCTCAGGATTAGAAATGTCACACAATCTTGTTCTCAGCTGTTTTTTTAAGATCATGTAACCATTATAATTTTATCAGTGTAGGATTTACAGGATGCTTGCCTTTCATCCTAACTGGTTGTTAGGTACCTTTCTGAATTAGATAAGGTGGAGTTTATCACCATTTTATCCTTGTTGGGGATGAAGAAACCAAAGGTTACTAGCAAAGCCCGAAGTTAATGTGTTAGCACAGGTCAGCCTTCTTTCTCCTAAAGTTTCTATCACCTGTTGATGTCAGCATGAGTAAGCATCTTCTGTCTCAATAAAGAATTGAGGATGTAAACAGAAAAAATTATCTTTTAGAAAAGATGCATACTCTCTCTTGTCAGTTCTGTACTCGGGACCATCTGCTGGAATGTTAGCTTTCGCTTAATGACAGTGATAGTAGAATCTAAAATCAGTGTGTTTAAGGCCTTTTTGGCATAACAGAACCTACAGTGAAGACACTGCTGTGCATTTCTTAACTCCTATATTCTGCTTCTTATTATCACACTTAATGGTTATGGTTTTACAGTTGGTTAGTGTTTGTCTACAGCACAGCAGAGTCAACGCCAGCATATGTCACAGCCTGCTGAGTTGTTCTGATAAACTTTCCAGTATCCCTGAAATGACCCGCTTGTATAATTACCAAGTGGGTTAACATTTGTGGCATTAGATACTTTGTAAGTTAACTGTTGAGTGATAGGAACTTTTGAAGGTTGATTACAAAGAAAAGTTGTGATTTGAAGAATGCTTCACTTGGCATCTTGTTGTGTACTAGTTTTAATGTCAACTATTTCCATAATTACCATCTTTCATTTATTAGGATTTAAGGAAACCTAAAGGATGAGTGACTTAGCTGTTTCAATAAGAACATTTTCTTAAACTTGATGAGACAACTCTTTCTTTCTTTCTTCAAGTTAATGGTAATTGTGGTTTTTTGGGAATTCCAAGCTTTCTTTTGCAATTACCAATTGTATCAGTCAAGGTTCACTTGCAGAGAACAGAATACACTCTGGCTGGTTTAAAACAAGGGAGATTTATTACAACATATTAAGTGGCTTACAGAGCTTTTTGGTGAAGGTGAGGAAACATTTGAGGTTGAGCTCTCAGGAATGACTTTTAGAAGTTCCCAGTACAGCAGGCCACCAAGGAAGTAGTGGCCGCCTGTGGAGCCAGGATGCTCCCTGCTAAGAAGCGCATGTCTCAAGACAGTGTTGCCAGTTCTATGGGAAGACAGGAAGGACCTACAGGAAAATCAAACCCTCCCATCAGGAGTGTGGACCTCAACTTTCAAATTTTTGATTTACAAATGTCACCCTATTTCATTTTACTGATGGCACCTGGACCTCATAGCTGCAAGGGAGTCTGGGAAGTATAGTTGTAACTGTTAAGTCTCGACACTGCAGGAAACTAGAGAAGAAGGGTCATCCTGGCTGCTAAATTGTTAGGTTACACAACAGGGTGCCTCTCACTGGGATTCAGGTTCACCTACATTTGATTCCTCAAACACAAAAGACAGTGCGAGGATGTTTTTGTTTGCTCATTCTGCCCTTATCAGTGCACATTTGCTTGTTTATGTACATACTGTAAGCTACTGGTTTTTATTTCATATGTGTGATACTTATGTAAGGCTGTGCTCCTCTGAACTCAGACATTTCAAGTTTGGGAAGGGAATTGGAGAAATACTGCTGAAGGAAAGCAGTGTTGTGTAGTTCATGATACAGCAACAAATGCTGTGGCCTTAGATTATAAAATACAGGTGCTGTGCTCATGTACATACAGTTTTAGTCTTGTAGGGAGCTTTTAGGACACCTGTTTGGGAGATTCTGATTGGGATTCCATTGATCTTTTACAAACACTTTGGTCTTAAGTGAAAACCTGAAAGTCCTGATCAGCCCCACTTCATCTAAAGCTGTGTTTCTTAAACTTTGTGTCAGGACAGCCTGCAGGGTTTGTGAAACACAGACAGCTGAGCTCCACCCTACAGTGTCTTCTGGACCCTACCAGTATCATTCTAGAGTTTCCAGGTGATACTGGTACTGACAGTTCAGGTACCACACTTTGAGAATCACAGATCTGAAGGGAGCTGCTGATTTTTATTGTAAATATCTGACTTTTTTTGTATGTGGCAGTGTGTATGTGTGTGTGTGTGTGTGTGTGTGGTTCTGGGGGTTGAACCTAGGATCTTGTGTCTCTACCATGAAAGAATCAACATTCTTCCTTTCTTGTTGTTTGTTTGGGCTGGAATCATCTGAGGAGTAAGATGCCCTGGGAAGATGAGGATCTCACATCTTTAGAGCTTCCCAGAGTGAGAAGAGAGCCTCATTTGTCGTTGCATTTTATTCTTCAAGTGAGGAATCTTTATTTTGTATAGGCTGTCTTATATAAAAATGGAAAGTAGACATAACCATTTTGAGTGCATGGTTTTGTAGCACCATGATTTATTATTAATAGTGAGCCTATAACCATGGACATACTATAGAATAAGAAAGCCAGTTTACATTTCTTCAATGCTGGTGATATTGAACATTTTTTTCATGTATTTATTTGCATATCTGTGCTTCTGCTGAGAAGTGTATTTATTTTTGTTGCCCAATTTTTTATTTATCATCCAGGCATCAAATAACATGTGGGAGGCTGTGGCACAAGGAACTGTGTTGTACATTGTTGGTGTGAATATAAACTAGTGCAACAGCTATGGAGATCAATATGGAGATTATTTTAAAAGATGAAATAGAAATTCAACACAGGTCTGTCTCTTCTAGGCATCTTCCTAAACAAGTTAAAGTCATCATATTACAGTGATACATACCCATGTTTATAGCAGCACAATTCATAACTGTTTCAAAAATCGTAGAAACGGTCTCTATGCCCATCAACCAAGAATGGACAAAGAAAATGTATGTGTTACACTTCCATAAAGAAGATAAACTTGAAGCATTTATAGGTAAATGGATGCATCACAAGATCATGATATTAAGTGAAGTAAACCAAATGTACAGATTTAACAGTCATATAGTTTCTCTTACATGAGAAACCCAAAATATAAATAAAGAGCAAAATAAAAGATAAAAAGAAGTAGGGAGATCTTTTTTTCAAATGAGAAAGGGAGCAAAAGATGGAGAGGGGAGAGAGGGAAAAGGGATGAAGAGAAAAGGGAACTAGAGCTTTCGCAAATACGAAGGAGGGCAAGTATTAGAGGGAGCAGGGAAGGACAGAAGGGGAAGGGGACAATAAAAAAATTAAGATTCATTTTATACATGTTACAAACTGTCCACAATAAATGTAAATACTAATTTATTGGTAAATAAATGTAATTATTTACTAATAAAAAGGGGGGAAGTTTAGAAAATATTCCTACAAATAGGAATAGTCTTTTCTGCAAGACCCTTCCCTTTGACTGCTCTAAGTTGTATTAGAATGAAACTGAGTTCATCAGTCCTTAAAGGTATCTTTCTGGTTCTTGTCATATTTTTCTTTCTGCCCCACATTCTTTTTAATACCAGTTATTCAGTTATTGAAGTTGTACTGTTGATTTTTTTTTTTTTTTTTAAGCTTGAGCTATACATAGCGTGTTTTTCAGGCACAATCAGTGATCTAGTCTCATGAATATAAGTCAGCCAGCTTGGAGGAGGGGCCCAAGGAAGATTTTTGCAGGGTAAAGAGTACATATGTGCAAGACATCAGCAGTACAGCAGTAGTAGGCAGCCAAGTAGAGCACAAAAGCAGCTTGCATCTTTGTTGTATAATTCTTACACATTTTATCACACATTTACATTCTTACATGCTTGCTCATGTAAGCATGATTGTCCGGTGCTGAGTCCTGACTGCATGACTGTATCCTGTTCTGTTCCTGCACTAGGCAGCGGGTTCACATCATTGGATGTACTCAGACATCACTGAGCATTGGCTCAGTCTGAATGATTCCCCACAATATAGCTAGTGTTTGTCTTGTCAAAAGTGCTACATGTTTTGGGTTGGGGAGATAGTGCAGTGGTCTAAGCACCGGCCTGTTAAGTGCAAAGTTCTGAGTTCAGTCCCCAGTACCAAAAACAAAAAGTGTTAAATGTTTAATGATTCTCAAGTTTTTCCTTGAGGAACTACATTAAGACTAGGAATTTTCATATGAAAGCAGTTGTGCACTTCTCTCAATTTTTGTATGAAGCATTAATGAAGAGTTTTTCAACTGGTAAAACACCCTTTTCCCTTCCCTCTTAACCTTGGGATGGTGTGAAATGTTATTTAACAGAGTAGAGAATTTATTGTTTGACGGAAATGAAATATTTCAGTCATCTGCAAAGAACTTTTAGTTTTTTTCTTTCTTTGTAATTTACTCTTTATGTTTGAAAGCCATATCCTTGATGTACATTTTTGATATAAAAGTTTTGTTTGATGTTGGAATTCATATGCAAAAGATGCAAATTCAGAAGACTAATGATAAAAATATAGCAATTAGATTTTAAGAAGGGTATGGTTTTCGTATATGAAAAACACACAAATAACAATGAATATGGGCCTTCTGGAAACAATCTAAAGCTGGATAAATCTTCTGAAGCCCAAGAATAAATTAAGTCTAATAATTCCAGGCTTGTGTAAAGTAAGGTGTGCATGCTAATTAGCTGTTCTGAATTAATTTTAAAGGGTATCTGCATTTCTGTGGCTCCCCTTTTATAGTTCATATCACAGAACTACCTGGGTATTGGCTTTGCCAGTAGGTAGAATCCATTTAGGTAAATATTCAGAATACTGGCTCTTCTCATTGCAATTTTTTGTGGTCTTCAGTGATGCTGTGGAAGTATTCTTCCCTCACAGTGGATGACAGATGAGTAAGAATAGGAGCTGGAAATAGTGGAAATTCCAAGAAAAACACAGCCTTTGATGAGTAGGGAACAGATGCAATTAGTGCAGACATGAGTCCAGGTCTGGTGGTGACTTTTCTCAGTCTACCCTGTATTGATCCACTGGTATCCATGCTTAACCAGAAAGAACCTAGAACCTAATAAACATTTCAGTGAGCCTCAGGAAAATTCCATATTGATCATTAACTATTTAATGCAAATTTCATATCTATAGTTAAGAAATAATAGCATTCAATGGGACTAGGACAATAGAGAGTTAGACACGAGTTAGAATTTCTTAATTGTTTGGTGGTTTTTAAATTCCATAAATTCTCTTTGCTTCTTTCCTCCCAATTTCTCCCTTCTTTTTTTGAATCAGGTTACTTATCATTTAGAAGTTTTGCTTAAGAGTGAGAATAATAGAATATAATACAAAACCTTTGGATACATAATATAATGATAGATACCATTTGTTGTGTGCTTTAATTGTACAGTACTTTTAGTGCTAACCCTAAATGAATTGCCTCGTATCATCCTTGCATCTGTTCAAGGGTTCCTGTTTCATAGATGAGCAAAATGAGACTGAAGAGGTCAGAGCATCAAGGTCATGCTCTCAGAGTTTTAAGAGGTCAGACCTGCACCCCGGGCAAGGATGGTTTGATATGAAAGCTGTGTCCTTAAATATGAACATGGATGGACACTACAAATAGGTAGTTGGGAGGAGAAATTGGGAGACCCTTGATTTCTCTCTGTGTGGTATATAATATTCCTGGGTTACATTAGATTCACATAGAAGTTGCCTACAGTGTGATGCAGTAGGAGGTAGGAGATTTGTGATCGGAAGACTGAGAAGACACAGGGACGTAAGCAGTAATATATGTCCCACCTCACTCAGTGAAGACCTGAAAAATTAATAGTCATGCTTTGAAAACTCTGAAGTTGCCTTCCTCTTGCTGATGTTATTTGTGAATGTTGGCCGTTCGCTGTACAGATTGTTTTCTTTTGTGTTCTATGCCCTAAATACTGTGTAAGTTACAAAGTGAACACTTCAGATATTCTCACAGAGGTGCACTTCGATCATTTTGGGATCAGTAAGCACAGTGTGGGATTGTAGGGCGGGGGAAATTCATTCTAAGATAGTATTGGTCAGGAAAGCCTTTACAAAGTGCATGGTATAGTGAATGGAGAAGGTATAAGGCTATGGTATTCAGATAGAATAAGGCTACTTGTTCATATGTGGAAAAATTCTGCTGCTTTTAAAAGGGAAACAAACTAAGAACTTTAGCTACCACATGCTAGTTTAAAAAAGTTACTGATAGGGCTGGTAGGATAGCTCAGCAGACTAAAGCACTTGCTTCGGCAGAGCACAGTGGCGGAGGTTCAATCCCCTGCGTGCTGTGCCAGCCCTGCTTCCAGGGTGCGCTGAGATGGCAATTGAGACCGGGCATGGCGGCGTGCCTGCAATCCCAGCACCTGAGAGCTGAAAACAGGAGGATCACTATGAGTCCGATCTGTGTAGTGAGACCCTGTAGACCCTGTCCTAAATTCATAAAAAAGAAAAAAAATGTTACTGATAGACTGTTATAAGGTGGAGAATTCTTCCCATGGAGGAGGGAATTTGCCTGCCCTGGACATGGGGATGAGAGGCACTTTCTATGACATCTACACCAGTAGTGTTTGTCCCACCCCATCTTACCTCACTTGTGGGGACCTCACCAGAGGGAAAACTCTTCAGAAACTTTCAGTGTCATTTATCTTGGCCAAGTTGGTTGGTTAGGAATCTGTTTTTTTCTCTTATTGAACAGGAGGAATGCTGATTAATTCAGAATTTTAAGAAAAAGAGTGCAAATTCTTTTTTTTTTTTTTTTTTGAGGAACTGGGGATTGAACTCAGGCCCTTGCGCTTGCCAGGGAAGTGCTTATCCCACTGAGCCATCTCCCTGGCCCTAGAGTGCAAATTCTTATTGCATGGGTGGTTGCAGGTACTCCGCTAAAATGGAAAGTTATCAGTTATGCTTTGGGCAACGTGGTGATCATCCAGTTGGTTTCAGCAGTATTACCTCCCCTTCCAGTGATTAATTAATAAAATTATTCATGACAGTGGTGGCAAAGGAGCTCAAGTAGCTCCATATTTAGAGACAGAGAACCCATTGTGCAGAGGTCTCAGCAGAGGCTTTACAAACACACACAAGGGGTTTAGAATAATTTGCATAAATCTCCCTGTGGATAGAGACGCGGCTCCAGTGTTGGGGTGGTTCCAGGAACCTCTCCCTGGCTGTATCATGGTGTAGCACTGTGCTTGGTGAGAATTCAGTCTCATGACAGTTTTGGCCAGCAGGACTGGGTGATGGGATGCTGAATAAGCCCACTGTTCGGTTCTAATAAGGGCTCTTTTGTGTTGGTCTGAGCCAGTCATATTCAAGTTTCTCTTGCTTTTTCTCCAGTGATGTTTGTGGATTTTGTAGCCTTTAGAATTAAGCACAACACACATTTTTAGTTAATCTGTTGAATTTTACTCAAAGCTAGCCACAGCCCCTTGTGTTTCTAGAATTAGAGAATAATAGTCATACCTTTGGAGACTTCTGATTTATTAAATTAAAACTTTGGAAAGAGTTTAAGTTTCTTGGCATTCCCAGGTAGTGCGGTATTCCTAGATGTCCTGGTGGAGCTGTAGGAAGTAATTCCTTTAGGTTATTTAATGTGATTTGCCTAGTTCAGTGACTTCTTTAAGAGATATGTTTCCTTGCATAACTAGCAAAAGAGGTTGTACTTTAGCGTAATATTTAATATTCCCCTCTGGAAGGACAGGACATACTCTGGAATGTAGTTTAAACATGCCAGGTGTTAACAGATCTGTTTGAGCTTTTGTTTTTTTCTTCTAAGAAATGATATGATTAAACTCTCGATCTTAAGAACTTTAACTACTGGTTTCTTTTCAGAATGTTACCATTCTAGAAGCCACATATGGAGTGTAATTTGAAATCTGGGGACTAATTTATGCACTGTGGCATTTTAGTACTTTAATACAAAAATGAAATACACTGAATTCTAACCTGAAGTTTATTTTCCTTCAGTCTGCTAGCTTGATTTCTCAGCTTTATTCTAATAACATAAACATTTTTATGTTTATTTATAGGTGGCTTTAACTAAGAGAGCAGATCCAGCTGAGCTTAGGACAATATTTTTGAAGGTCAGTATAAAGGAATCTATTTTGTGCCTTACTTGGTTTGTGTTCTATAACTTTGAAAGATTATTTTCAAGCAGCTTTTTGTTTCATTGTTAAATGTTTTTAAATCCCCAAAGTGTCTTTACCTAGGACTTATGAAAGAGGTCCTTTACAGTTCTATTTTTTAAATGTATATGAAATATCAGGTAGTTGTTTAAGATGGCAACATGGTTTATACTTAAGTTTCTTTTTAACTGAAAAGGAGTCACTGGAAGATTTTGTCTTGCAGCTCATTCACCTCTTCAGGATTGATCTGTGAAGGACAATGGTAATGCTTCTCCTAAGAAGTTTAAAGGTGTTTATAAAATTCTGTAGTCTTTCATTCTGCAGGACAGACTATTCCTGTTTCTCCTTGCTAGAAGCTGCTTATGGTGACTGAAATCATTGTCATAACCATTGTCATTTGATGATACCTGTGGAGCCTGTGGGAGACCTCAGTGTGAATAGCCACAGGCACCAGAGTACAGCACAGAGCATATAAACTGATTTTCTTGGCTTACTAGATTTCTGTTTACTTTATATTGTTGGGCAATGGAAGATCAAAACAGGAAAAGTCTCCCTTCACTATAAACACTGCAGCATGTTTATGTTATTTAGCTAAAATTAAAGTACTTAGAAAAGAGAAGGCCACTCTTGCAAAGGTAATAAAATACTATGTGGGCCTTTTCTAAACATTATGTAAAGGGAGCAGGACTGAATTGAGAGAAGAATCGAGAAATGTGATGTGTGCTGGCTCAGATGTAGAAAGTTACTGTTATTATTATTGTTACTATTTTTATGTAATACTGGGGAATAAATCTGGGGGTCTCATGCATGCTGCACAGCCCTTTTTATTTTGAGAAAGCATCTTGCTGAGTTGCCAAGGACGCCTCTGAATTTTTGATCCTCAAGGGTTAGCCTCCCAGACAGGAGCTACTGTGCCTTGTAGAAGTTACTACATCTGAGAGCCTTACTTTCCTCAGCAAAATATGTTAGGATTCTAAAGACTGAAGGCTGAGGGTATAGCTCAGATAAGTGAAGAAGTTCATGCCTAGTGTTTGCAGAACTGGGGGTCAGTGTCGAGTGCTCCAAAACAAAAGGATAAAAAGAGACATCAGAGAATTTGAGAACTGGTAGGATTTTGGTATAATGGAATTATGACCAATTGATTTTAGTTCTGATAATTATACTGGTTACCTTTCCCTTTGTTGAAACAAAGTACCCAACATTCCTAATTTCATTTGGCTCAGGGGTTTGAGGTTTCAACCCATGGTCATCAGGATTCAGAGCAGATGCATTATGGGTGAAGGGCGTGGTAGAGCAAGGCTATTCACCTTAAAGCTACACAAAGGCAGTGGGCTGGAGAGAAGAAAAGCAGATACCATCCCTGAGGTGGTGCCCCTTGCCCCACCTGGATCCACCTGGAAATGTGTCTTACCTGGTCTCTCTCAGTTCACCTGAGTTGACAATCATGATTGACAGTCATAACAATGGTATTCTGATTATGAGAATATACAGTTTATCTTTAGAGATAAACTGTTTATGGATGAGATCATCATGTCTGAGATTTGCTTTTAAATAATTCAGTTTTGGTGGTTTGGGGAAAATGAGTGACTAGTAGGATATTTTTTTTAATTGGAAGTAGGATGTTTGGTTTATATACTAGTCTCTCTACTTTGCATATGTTTGAACATTTTCATAATACAAAAGTTAGAAAAACTGGGGCTGGGAAGATAGCTCAGCAGTCAGAGTTCCTGTCTGGCAAGTGTAAGGGTGAAGGTTCGATCCTCAGTACCTCATGCCGTGGCAGCCCTGGAACCCTAGATGTGCCGTGCCAGCCTCGAAACCAGGAGTGGTGCTGTATGCCTGTAATCCCAGTGCTGGGGAGGTGAGATAGGAGGATCACTGTGAGTCTAATCTACACAGTGAGACCCTGGACCAAATCACTAAATACATTTTAAAAAATGTATTGAAGTTATAAATATTCATAAAGATTCAAAATCAAATAATTACTATGAACATGCCTAGTGCCTGATACACATTAGATACTGATAAGAGTAAATAAGTAACTTTAACTAGTTAAAGTATAGGAAGGATGATTCCAGAAGAAAATGATGCAACATAGGAACAGTTTTCAGAGGGAGGGAGAAAAAATAGATTTATAAGGAGGTTTAGAGTGTGTATAAAAGCAAAATTCTTTATAAATTTGCTTTGAGCCCAGAAGAGACATCACAGAATAGAGATCCTAAGGTAGAAAAGGATTCTGATGAATATAAGTCCAGAAAAAAAGAAGAGCATTTGTTTCTTCTTCAATTTAATACTTGTTGCTTTGCATGTTGGGCCCAGCTCTATTGTGATGAGGTAGCTGAAGGACTCATAAGGTTGATTTGTGTATTTACAGCCTGTTGATTTTTCAGACTCCTATGTAATTCTAAAAGGCATTTGTTGAAGATCAGCTGAGTTGGCTGCCAGGGATCCTGGAGAAGTGGGTTGAAGTCATAGTCACTCCTTGAAGTGAGAACACTCTTTCAGTTTAGTAAGAGATGTGACATCTTTCTAGCAGAAGATGAGAACCGTGTGGAGGGTATCTGAACAAATATTGCGGTTTTGATGCTCACTGATCTTGTGGCATGATCCCTTGGAAAGACCCCAGTTAAAGTCAGTGCCCCCTTTTGGGGCCACAAGGCAGCTGGGGAAGCCACTTAAAATCCTGGTTTGGAATAGCATCTTTGCCAGCCACGACATCCACTCACTGCCCAGGACTCTGTGTTGGGGAAAGTCTGGGTGGCCAAGGTAGACCAAGGAGGGCGGGAACTCATGGGGCATGCGGACCTGGAGGCCGAGTAGAATCTTGGGGACTTGCGAGGGAGCTTTTGAGAGCTATGTGGAGGTGAGGGGACAGGAATACCTGAAGAAAACAGCATCAGCAGTCTGCTGAAGGAATTGTGGGTCTTGCAGAGGCTCTGGTGACCTCACCCGGTCTGGATAGAGCAGAAGCAACACGAATCCACTGTGGCTGAGCACCCTGAGATTCTTGTTTCCTGTCCACTACAGACAGGATTGAGGGGAAGGGGAGAAAGAGGAGCAAGGCTCCAAGGGGCTACCAGGCCAGACTTTTTAGTTAAGTACAGAGCAGCAAGAGGCATTCTGCAAACCATTGTGCACCGCTGCTTTTCAGGTGTGAAGTTTTCTTGACTTGATTTTCTTCCTAATAAAAATTCTGTGTGAAATAAACCAAGTGTCTGTCCACTAAAACAAATAGAGAAAGGATTCTTCTGTATCTTGGGGAAGCTAGAAAGGAGGTCCATTGTATCCATTGCATCAGATGGGTGGGTACTGGAGGAGCTGGCAGCTCTGGCGCCCAGGAGCGCCTGTTGGCCTGGGCTAGACGCGGAAGGAGGGCTCCTGGAGGGTGGAGCTGGGCCTAATTCGGGGTGTACTATGTGTTTTTGAGTTAAAAATCAGTTCTATTTTTACTTTTCTTTTTCTTTTTTTCTTTTTTAAGTTTACCTATGAGATGTTAGGTACAGTGTTAGGTGCTCAGCATGCAAGGATGCATAAATTATGTCCTTAAACATCTTACTATATGTATGTGTGAGAATGTTAAAAGCCATCATATAACTGATAAGAATATGTAACATTAATTAGCAGGAAGATAATGTTGACTGATTCCATCTTCCTGCTCAGGATCATTCATAGATAAGATTTCTAAGCTGTGCTTGAAGGCAAGGGGATGCTTGGCAGACGGAGAAGGTAAAGGAGGGCATTGAGGCAAAGGAAGACTGTTCCTGGGAAAGAAAACAAGTTGCACGAAGCAGAGAGCCAGAGGTGCCAGGCTTACGGAGGGAATAGCCAGTAACTGGTGTGGGCAAGTCAGGACTTTGTGTAAATGGGCCAGGCTAAGGCAGTTGAGCTTTTCAGGTAGGGTTTTCTTTTGTGAAGTTGTGAAGTGGTGGGAGAGATTTTATGTCGATATGCAATAGAAGTCTAGGTAGTCAATTCATTTCTAATCTCAATGTTGACTGGCCTCTTTCTTTCCCTTTCCCTTTCCCTTTCTCTTTCCCTTTCTCTTCCCCTTTTCTTTCCCCCTCCCCTTGCCTCTCTCCCTTCCACTTCTCTCTCCCCTCCCTCTCCCTTCTCTTTCCTATTCCCTTTTCCTTCTGTTCTCATTTCCCTTCCCTTTCTCCTTCCCCACTTCCCCACTCTGTCTCTCTTCCTTTTTCCCTTCCCCTTCCCCCCTTCCCCCTTCCCCTTCCCTCCCCTCCCCTCCCCTCCCATCCCCTTCCTTCCCTTCCCTTTTTGCCTAATGCTTTGTTGTTACTTCATGTTAAATGGATGAATATTGAATGTTTACACTCAGCTTATAGTTTGAGCCAGGCACCACAAAACTCTAGTATGAGTTGGATGACCAAAAGAAGTATAAATAATGTCCCGTCTCTAAGAAGTTCAAATTTTATGCAGAACAAATTTATAAGCATCCAGCACATAAAAAAGAATCTAAGTCAGCATACTGAAAGGGTCTGCCTGTGTGGTTACAGCAGATACCACAGGAAATGGAAGAAGGGTTGGTCACCATTGTGGGCAGTGGTCATGGAAGGCTGGTGGGGAGAAAGTGAGGAGCCCCCGAAGAGTGCAGAGGAGGTGAGGCTGTGGGGAAGGGTCGGGGGCAGGCTTGGAGATGGGTTTGGCAGAAAATGGCATCTCTAGGTTAAAGAATTTTTGCTCTTAAAATGTTTATTCAAATGCAGCTCTGTGCCAGGGATTCTGCTAAGTATTACAGGGTATGAGCTACAAAACAGGAAAGGTAATTGGGAGTTTGGTGTTTCACTAAACAATAGGTATCACTGAGGGAGCAATCCAGTTGTAGGAGAGTGGGCATGTCATAGGACTGCAGCAAGGACCTGAGGCACAGGGCCCTTGGTTCTGGTCCCATCAGAGGCCTCAGAACTCAAGTAAGATTTGGCACCAGGAGTAGTGAGGAGTGAGGGACACTCAGAAGGAGTATTTGGTGAATACAACTGACCTTTTCTAATAGATGAGAGAGAGAGCACAGAGTGAGCGTGACTGTCATGTACAGCCTGTGTACAAAGAGGTGTCTGCAGAAACAACAGAGAAGTTGAGGTGAGAACCAGGGGAAGGATGGGGTGTGGAAGGCTGAGAAGAAACCACACTTCTGGTGTGGGAGATAGGAAAGTAGGGGTCAGGAGCTGGCAGGAGGGGTGGGATGTGCTGCAGAGTCATGGTGAATGACTTGCATTCTTAGTCTGTCAGCGAAAGCATGATACTTCAAAAATTTTGTAGACAAAATTTGAGAAAGTTAATTCTTCGTAAACCTGTTTCCAACAAATCAGTTCATGTCATTAATGAAGACGCATAAAGAAGATAACCTTTCATCTCAGTATAGATAGATGTCAGCTCCCCATCCTCTACCATTCTCTCCCCTCCCCTCTTTCACTCTCCTCCCCCATGCCCTTTCTGTGCTTCAGGATGTCTTCATAAGGAGACAGGAAAAAACAGGCTGTATTATATTTAACTTTCCCCTTACCTAATATATTCTGAATACCTTTTTCTATAATTGGATGTGTTTCTTCAGGATTTTTAATTCAGTGTGATTTTCCTGTGTGTGTGTGACTGTTTTACATAATTTAACCATTCTCTAAGATTGGATGTTTAGTTGTCCCCTCTGCTTTGCTGTCATAACAACAGTGTAATGAATACCTTTGTATCCACATTTTTATGTGTAGCTAATATTATTTTCATAGGAGAAGTTCCTAGCAGTTTCATCATTGGGTTAAAGAGTACGTTGACAATAGATTAAGGCTTTTGATTGTTCTTTTCTTGGTAGACTTCCTTTCATGAGGTTGTGTCAGGATATATTTTGGGTGGAAATGTGGAAGTATACATTAAATTTGCATTTTAACAAATGACAGTATTTTAAACTAGCCATTTATGATTCTAAATTATATTTTTGACTTTATTGTGACAATTTTCAACATATAGAAAATAGAATGGTTCAGTAACTCCTATGTAACCAGCATATAATTTAAATTAATGTTTGTCATATTAGTTTATATGTGTATACTACATTTTACTGAATTATCTCAATGTGTTAGGTATCATAATTCACCTTAAGTACTTTAGTATTCAGCTTCAAATAATAAGCATTTTTTCCATGGTCTTAATCCCATTGTACATTTAATGAAATGCACAGTAAGTAACTAGTAACATGAAGTACTCAATCCATACTGCTATTCTTAGGTATTTTTTTCTTCCATCCCTACAAGAGGAAAGCAAAGCAAGGAGTAGCCAGATGACGTGAGCTGGTAAGCAGAGAGAGCCCCAGGGCTTGGGAAGACGCCCAGGATTTGCCCCTTAGCCCTGGGATGTGAGTGGCTGGCCGACTGGGGCAGCTGGACCAGTAGGCTCTGGCTGGCTCAGGAACTTGTCCTCAAGGTGCAGCCAGTGAAGGGGCAGCTTCCTTTTCCACCTTGGCTTTCTGTCTTCACTGACTGTGGTGATGTTTCATGGTGGAGACAGTTGGTATTATCCAAGGATGTGTAATGCATCCTGATAGCCTTTCCACTTTGTAGGCATATGGAAATTATATTAAAACTCCTGAAAAATAAGAGATGGAGACTTCTGGTCTCATCCGGTCAGCTAGTCCAAAGGAGCACTCAGTGATGTTCTTAAAGGTGTAGCGTGTATAAGAAATACTCCACCCCAACCCTACCTTCTGTGCATTGCTGCAGAGAAGCAGAGCTGCTTAGCAATGCCCTGGTCCATGTTCTTTTTATCAATATAAGGGATAGACTTGGGCATGCTTAATCACAAAACACTGTTCCAGCTTCCTTTGTAATGAGCTGGTTGATTAATTGATTTTGTATTTTAGGGAAGGGTCTCCAGGATGTTCAAGGTCTCACTACTAGATCAGACTCAGTGATCTGCCTGTTTACAGCCTCCTGAAAGCTGGGATTATAGGCCTGTGCCACCACGCCCAGTCTCAATTGCCATCTCAACATGCCCCAGGTGTAGGGCCGGCACAGCAGCCTGGAGATCCAACTCCTGGCTGGCACTTTAATCTGCTGAGCTATTTGACCAGCTCTTATAATGACCTGATTTTGCAAACAGAAGAAAATCTTTTTATTTTTATCTTATTATTATTTTTAAATTTATGTGTCTTATACAGGGTCTCCATATGCAGCTGGGACTCATAGTGATCCTCCTGTTTTGAGCCTCCTCAGTGCTGGGATTATAGGTGTATGCCACCATGCTTGGACTTGGTAACAGGCTCAGTGTCCCTGGGGGCGAGGCCGGCGTGGCATGTGGTACCAAGGATCAAATCCTGGTCCCTGTGCTTGCCTAAGCAGGTGCTTAGTCCACTGAGCTCTCTCACCTGCCCTAGAAAACCCTTTTATGTATTGAAGTTTTTATATTGTTTGTTTGTTTGTTTGTTTTTTGTGGAACCAGGGATTGAACCCAGGCCCTTGCGCTTGCCAGGGAAGTGCTTATTCTGATGAGCTATCTCCCTGGCCCCTATATTGTTATTTTTAAGAGATGATTGCTTAAAAAAAACAAAAACAAAAACAAAAAACTACTAAAAAAATAAGGGCAATAAAAGCTCTCAGTGTTTTTTTAATGTAAACTATTGAAATATAGACAAGGTGCACAGGCCAGTGTGTACAGCTGCACCAGTGTGTACAGGGGAGGTGCAGCACAGCCCCAGACCCCGAGTACCTCAGATGCCCCTCTGCTCAGCGCGCACGCTCACCTGGAAGCCCGTTGTCCAACTTCTCTCACCAGGTTTTAGTTTCTCTACTCTTCAGAATGTCCTTATACAATGTGTATTCTTCTGTCTGTCTTTTTTACCGTAAGCAGAACCCAGGACCTTGAGCATGCGTGGTGAGTGCTGTGCCGCCGAGTCGCTGTGCAGCACTGTCTGCTTTCTTTTGTCCCCAGTATTTATGAGGTGAGACTGAAAACTACAGTGACTATGTCAATAAGACACACATTGCCATCAGTCCTCTTCAGAATATCCCTCCCGCCCCTGCCTGGTGCTTGGAACATACTTCCCTGATTGTTCTTGCCACTTTCTGAAGCAGCTCTGGAAGTCCTCATAGTGATGTCTTTAGTTTGGTCATTTGACTTTGGAGAGTACCAGAAGCCTAAGGTTCCAGATCCAGTGAATTGGGGGATAGGGACGCACAGTGCCATTTTCACCTGGCTGCCTTTCTGTTCATTGGTGTCTGGTGGTGGCATTCACCATATTTTTGATCATCCTTTGTAAAAACACTTGCGAAAGAGAACTTCAGAACTGCTTTAGAAAATGGGTGATGAGATATGCTTGAAATGAGCGGTCATGTTTTGAGAGGGCTTATAGCCATACATTTTTTAAAGATTTAAATATTTACAGTATATTTCAGCCATAGCTGGTATGTAGAGACTCATCTCTACTGTGTGGAGATAGCTTCTGTTGCTATTTTTTCTTCTTGTGTGACAGTGTGTCCACCTGTATGTCTTGTGACTGCGTGACATTTGACTTACATGTAGTACTTTGCTGTTACAGATCATGCTGCGAGCGGGTAGGTCAGCGTGTTCTTCGGTGCTGTGGTATGTTTGTGTGCAGACACAAACGTCTGTTGGAGACAGTTGTGGCTGAAATTGCTGGGTCTGTGGTTTTCTGTATCATCCCTAGTTATCGTAGATACTGTCTAGCAGTTTTCTTAAACAGTTTACGAGTTTATTCTTAGAACACCAGTGTTGGAGAATATTTGTTCTGCATTTTGCCAACGTTTATTATTCTCCATTCTTTCGTGGGTGAGTAGTGAAATATTGTTAATAATTTTATTTTGCATTTTCAACGGAATTTTCTTGTAGAGGGCAGCAACTAACAATGAGTCTGAAGGTGATTTGGGCAAAATCAGGGTGATCATGGGCATGGAAAACTACAAACATGAAGTCTGTCATAAAATGTATCATTTCTTAGCCTTTAATTCATCTGAATAGTATTTACTGACCATGCCTCACTATGTGTTGTGTACTAGCATGGGAGTTTCAGGACAGAGCCATGAAAAAGACAGGAAAAAGCCCTGTCTTGACTGAGCTCTTCTTCTAGTTGTAGCAGAGAAGCCACATGAGATCTTGCAGGCACAGACAGATCAACTGAAAGGGTCGTCCGGGAGCGCTTCCAGTGACCAGAGCAGCCGCCAGTCCATCCCGGTCTCTCCTGTGCGGTTGAAGTGACCTTAGAATGCCCAGGGGTCCTAGGAAGCCAGGCAGGCTCATTGGCGCTGATGCTGGGCAGGGAGCCTCCTTGTCAGAGCTTTTCCTGGAGCCCACGTGGTAATCTCGTGTGTGGAGCGAATCCACACTAAGTGTGTGGGGGGGATGATTTGGTTTGTGGTCCTTAAACAGCCAGTGGACTAAATGAGAAAAACTCAGGTTGGAGGAGCCTTGCCTCAGACCCACACAGAAATCAAGGTCTGATGTATTAAATAAAACTTAAAGGTAAAAAGGTAAACCTACTTGAAATAGTCGAGAGAAGCTGTGCATCAATATTTAGTCTTGGGATGAGGAAAGACTAGTTTTTAAGACAGGAAAAATAATGAAAGAAATTGCAAAGATAAAAAATAAAAATAACCCAGAAAAATATATACAATATGATAGACAAAAGTGGGCAGAGGACAAGCTCACACACTGTTGGTGGGAGTGAATTAACACTTCTGGACAGCAGCGTGGTACTAAGGGCCAGGAACCCTAAAGCTCTTCTTCCACTCAACAGTTTCTTTAGGAATCTAGCCTTCAGAAATTCCAAGTATTGGACAGATGTTATGCACAAACATGGCTGTCTTCACTTAAAAATTTCAAAAACTGGAAATAATCTACATGTGTACTGCCAGGAAAAAAGTTAAATTGTTTTAAAATAAATTAATCACTATTACAAGGAAACATAGGTACAACTCTTAAATCATAGGGTTGTTTTAATTACTGTTGATGTATCCTTTTATATTTCAAGCTTGTTTTGCCTCAGGAAAATCAAAATACATTCTTCTTTTACATGTCTGAAAAACTGAATTAAATGCTAACTGAAGAATGATAGGTTTACTCTGCTTTTTGTGCACTGTGATAAAAACATGTTAATTAGAGACAGTAAAGTACTAGCACTTTGACAGATCTTCCGCTTGGCAGTGGGGTCAAGATTTGGTAGCTGGTGCTGAAAGAAAGCCCTTGATTGCATCCTCGCCTGGTGCTGTACCAGTGGCAGCTGTCACTCGGGGATACAGAAAAATAATAACATAGAATGTTTAGGAAGAGCAGATTGTGTATATTGCATTGTGCTTAAGCAGTTAAATAAATAATGTTATTTATTTCAGTGACACCTGATGAAGCCAATAATATCATGGTACCCATTTTGCAGGTGAAGAATCTGAGCCCCAGAAAGTATTTACACAAAGCCATTTAAGTGGCGAGAGGCCCAGTGCAGCCCAAGATACGTCAGAGCTGGTCACTTAGTCTGCATTGGGACAGAAATGTAGAAATGACAGTGGCTTTTTAAAAACAGTTATGATCAGACTTACCTCTAGGGTTGCAGAGGACGGGGAGATGCTGTCCGTGTACGTCACTTCTCTAGGGATACCCTTCCCCGTGACTGCCACCCCTGCCTGCCAGCTCTGTCCTTGTAGCTTCTCTGTCCTCCTGTCCCTCACTGATAAGCCTGAGAATGTGGAGACTGTGTCCTCCTCCGCAGGCCACCACATGATCTGTACACTATTTATGGCAGTTCCCACAGACCTTGGAGCCTCATAAGACAGGAGCAGACATGTCCCCTCTTACTGGAGCTGGAACGTGTCCCACCTGAGGCAATACTGGGAGAACACTGGGAAGAAGCATCGCATCCCACCCCTAATTTTCTGTACGACTTTATGGAGTGGAGAGAACATTAACTTGGGTGGGGGTTCTGCCTACTTTCTGAAAATCCCGCGAGAGGCCGTGGCTCAGTTTCCTTTTCCACTCAGTTTGTCATCCTTTCTGCAGCTTGGGTACCTTCGTGGCTTCTGTTAAGACAAAACCTAGACAAGTTAAAGTTTTAATGAGTTGTTGAGTATTCAGTGATTCATGAACTGGGCAGCAGCAGACGGCATGTGACTCAGGCCTGCATCAGGGGCTGGCAGGGGAAACATTCATAGCATGCCAGGGAAGCAAGACAAAGAAAATGTATTGCATTGGTCAAGCAGAAAGTTGCTTGTTAGAGGTCAGTTTGGTGCTTCCAGTTTGGTTGAACTTAGGGTTTGTTTTGCTGCTGATGCTGAGTCAGGCTTGGGTTTGCTTTTATAGTTACACAGGAACCCAAGGGGCTGGAACCATCTCACCCTGCTGCTGCCCAAGCCAGCTGTTTTAATAATTCATAATTAATTTCTCCTTTTAGGAAAGCTGTATGTCTCACACACACCCATAAAAAAGTTTATCTTCCTAAATTGCAGGAAGCTAGAATTCATCAGCTAGATAGCTGTTGTAGAGAGTCATCCCTGTGTCCTAAGGCGATGGTTAGTAGCATCCCTGCTTCTACCCAGGGTAGGTGACCAGCAGCATCTCTTTTCCCCAAGTTAGGCCAGTCAGGATTGTCACAGATGTTTCCGAATGTGCCTTGAGGAGGAACAGTGCTCCCGGTTGAGACCCTGTGGTGTGATCATAACGTCTGCAGCATTTAATATGTTCTTGTTTTTTCTTTGAAGTAATGAGAGATACCTGCTATATGTGAAGAGTGCATTATAATATTTGATGTTCTATCCTTTGAATATTTTTAACCTTTTCACATATTCTATGATTATATACTTTCGAGAATCAAATATATAAAGTAACATTTCTCTTATTTTCCTTTTTTTTTTTAAAACAGTATGCGAGCATTGAAAAAAATGGTGAATTTTTTATGTCTCCCACTGACTTTGTCACTCGGTATTTGAATATTTTTGGAGAAAGCCAGCCTAACCCAAAGACTGTGGAACTGTTGAGTGGTGTGGTGGATCAGACCAAAGATGGGTATGTTTAATCCTGTGTTATATTTTTTATTTAAAACAGCTTTCCTTGGCTTTAATGACAGGAGGTCACTGAATATGTGTTTTTCCAACCCTTAGGAGCATTTTCTCTGTTACGATTAACACATTATTTTAGAACTGTTGCCCCAACATTTACTTCAGTCGTCTTTTCATAGGTGGTTTTTCACTAGTTCAGAGATCTCTGCAGTTTCAGAAAACTATGTTTTTAAGTATGCTAATGTTTTTCTAGGCAGTTGTAAAATTAAGTAAATTTACATATAGTTCCATGAATGAAACTGTTCTATAATTTTCCCTGTACTTCAATCGCTGTTAAAATTTCACACATGATTAAGTGGTATGGGTCTACAAGAGAGGCTAATATGATCCCAGATCACCAAGAAAGGCCTTTGCAAGACAGCTGCAGAAGAGGACTTCACCATATACAATAAAATAGGACACTTTACTAAATGCCTTTGGACTTTTTTTGAGTTTTCTCTATCTTCTCGCTGGGATTTATTTATAAACGTTACCTTCTTTAGAAGAAAGAACTTTGCAACTATGATTAAGGATTTTGAGATTAAGAGTTTACCCTTGATTGTCTGGGTAGGCTTTCGATTCTATAACAAGGTTTCTCATGGCAGAGGGAGATTTGACACAGGCACAGTGAGAAGAGGCAGTGTAACCACAGAAGCAAAGAGAAGAGTGAGGCGACCACAAGCCAGCGCAGGTCTGTGGCCACTGGAAGTTAGAGCAAAGAAAGGTCTTCCCTAGAACATTTAGCGTCACTGACCTTGCTGATACCTGGGTTTTGGACTTGTGCTTCCCAAAACTGTTAGGAGAAACTCCTGCTACATTAAGACACCCAGAGTTTGTGGTAATTTGCTATTTTTAATTAACAAATAAAAATTATATGTATGTATGTATGTATGTATGATGTACAAGACATTTTAAATTATGCATGCATTGTAGAAAAGCCAAGTCAAGTTAATATATCAAGGTGTCCCCCAAAAAAAATCTCCAAAAATTTTTTTTTTCTGTCTAAAATTTTTTAGGTGATACCAGTTCCTCCTCAGTATTTCTTCCCTTATGCAATCCCTTAGTAATCAAAATTCTCTCTGATTCTATAAGTTTGACTCTTAGACCCCTCCTGGAAATGAGAGTGTGTGCTATTTGTCTTAAGCTTGGTTTATTCCACTAATGCCCTCTAAGTTCTGTTCATGTCACAAGTGACAGAATTACTTTCTTTTTTGAAGGCTGAGTAGTATTTCTTTGTATGTACGCACCACGTTATTTTCTTTACCTGTTCACCTCTTGGTGGGCACTAGGATTGGTTCCATATTTTGGCAAATGTGCAAAGTATATTAGTGCCATGCAGTGCAGACGTTCCTTTGACATGCCGATCATGTTTTCTGGTCATAATTTATTATAGCAAATGTATACTTTCACCTATTTTCTGTAGGAAACTAGAGAGCCTGTAGTCTTGATACATTTTCTTTGACCAAAGATAAGTTTGAGTTACGGAAAAACTTGCCAGTTGCACTGTTTGGCTGATGCAGACATTGACTGGGGCAGTGGCCCACGCCGGCTCTAGGCTCTTTCTGTGGAGTACAGCCCCTTCCTGAGAGCTTCACCTGCGCGTGGGCGTGGGCGAGCTCTGGGCGCCACAGCAGTGTCTGTGGACTGCTTGAATTGAGGGTGTCAACTCTTCATTTAAAACGGAAATGAAGTTTGCTGTATTATCTTAGGGTACTTGTTTACCCATTGTTCACAATTTATATTAAGAACAAAGTGACAGTCCGTTTTGTTTGGGGCCCTTTGAGTTTGCAGACACATTTCTACTTGTTTTTGTTACTGTTGTCTGATTAGAGGGGGCTGAGGCCAGGAAGTTTTCACTGGTATCTGACCTTTTCATGTGGAAGGCTAAGCAGGGCTTAGCATGGGCTGAGGTGCCCAGTGCCGGGCTGGCTGGCTGCCGGTTACCAGTGCTGACCCCTGTGTATGTCAGGGGACCTGGGGGACTGAAGAACCGAATGGGCTGGCTGCAATCACATATAAGTATAGGACCCCGATTGTCCCTCACTATCTGTGGGACACTGTCCAAGATCCTGCCCACGTACACAGGTTGTGGCCAGTAGCAAAATCTGTTCTTAAGTCCTTCTTAGGACATACTATAATATTTGCATGTAGCTTACACATATCTTCCACTATACTTTAAATCATCTCTAGATTACCTAACAACATCTAGTCCAATGCAAATGCTGTGTGTAAGTAGTTGTCAAATTCCAGTGGTGACAAACCTTTCAGAGACCAAGTGCCCAAACTACAGCCCCAAACCCTCTGTTTTTTTCTTTAGTACAGAGTTTACAGGGTCTCACGTGGATGGGACTCATGAACCACCTGTGTTTTACCTCCCAAAAGCTGGGATTATAGGCGTGTGCCACCACGCCCAGTCTCAGTCACCATTTCAGTGTGCCCCGGGCATGGGGCTGGCACACCACGCTGGGGATCAAACCCCAGCCCCTGCACTCTACCTAAGCAGGTGCTTTAGTCTGCTAAGCTATCTGGCCGGCTCTCCAAACTCACTTATTTATCTTATTCATTGCAAAGTGCAAACGCTGTACTTCAAAACCTGAACACTAAGATTCTAGTTTAGGAAAAGTAACTCATACATTAATATCTTTTGCATTAAAGAAAAGCCAGTAACAGAGCTTTAAATGCTACAAGCAACTTTTTATTGAGAGGTAAAAGTTTGCATCTGGCGTGGTTCTGCACAGTTGCTGTGGTCTTTGCTGTTGTGTGTTGATAATGGGTCACAGCTTGGCTGGGTACCGCGGCTCATGCACCATCGGGGGACTAAGGGGGGGCTCCTGTGCCCGCGGCAGCACGTGTACTGTAGGCTCACCATCGCTATACGTTTGGTCTTAGGGATAATAGCAAGAAAATAGTCTGTGTGTTCAGTATGACTCCAGCTTTTTTCCTGAATATTTTTCATCAGTGATTTGTGGAAGCCATGGATTAGAGACCCTGTGTATGGAGAGGCCTCCGTGCGTGTTTTCCATCTAGGTGGGGAGCTGCTTGACAGCCTTTGTGAACATGTGCTCAGGAGGCCAGAAGTTGGCTTTGCTCGGTGAAAGCGAATGTCAGGTATTCTGGTCCCCTGAGAGATGGGCTGACAGGTCCAGCTTGCCACGTTGTCAGTCCCCATTTTGTTGAATCAGAATGATAGCAATATAACCAGCAACCACAAATAATTCCTTTCTGTGCCAAGTTTAGAGAGTCAGTCCTGGGATAGTTCCCATTTTGATACCTGGAAATAGGAATGAAAAAAAAAAAAAAATTCACAGAGATACCCAGGATTTTCAAATGTGTCGCTGTATAAATGGCGCTCTCCGCTTTTCCCATGTTTGCTATGTGTCCTTCTGAACAATAGCTAAAGTAGGGTCTTTTAAATACTTCACAAGGTGAAGGAAGATACGATAATATTGATGACAAAATCATTTTTATATACCTGTTGTCATGGTGTGAGGTTGTACTGAAGAACCCCAGGCCTCGGCCACACGCTGGGAGTTAATGAGGCTCGCAATTGGCAGCGCTTAGAGTATTAGGGCGATGTATTTAAACATCAGCAGCTCCCACCTGAAAGGCTCATCCTTCGGCAGGCACAGTTTGGAATCGAGAAGAGGCCCTCCAGCTTGGCTAATGAAGAGGGTTTTGTCCAGCTAAGGTGGACACGGATCACAGGTAAACACCTGGAATTCGTAAACTGGAATTAAGGCAAAGACATCTCTTTAATTAAAAAAAAAGTAGTAGATAATAATCAACAGCAGTCGCCTGAGAAGCTTAAATATTCTTCATAGTCATCAGATTCCCAAATTAGTCTACCAAAACAAAAAGCCTCATTAACGGCTCTCATTGAATCGATGTTATTTTCTTTTTCTTTCTCTCAAGATGTCTGATTAACCCCCTTTCTTTTTGCATTACTCGCATTGTGTTAGTATTTGATGTCTGAAATCGTAGGGGGGTGCATGCAATGTGGTGGCTAGACACTGTCTATGAGGAGTAAATTAAAAAAGAATTTTTAAAAAGGTTGGTATTATGTTGCTGATGTATTAGAAAATCTTTAAGAACCTCAGGTGCCAGGTTTTATTTTCCTTTTTAGTTCCAGGAAGGCTTGATTAATGACCAGGTACTGATTTCACATCTCATTCATATGTACCCATAGCACTCCTCCTGTTCCACTCTCCTTCTCCTCACCAACCTAAGCCCTCTTTTGGAGGGTCTCCCTGAGAAGGGAAGCTGAGACATGGTGCCACAACCAGAGGCGATGCGGGCCTTGTGTGTGGATAGTGACCATAATGTATGTCGGTAGGCGGGGAAGTGGAAGAAGCCAACAGCGGAGGAAGGAAGGGGTGACACAGTGCGGCTTCGCTTCTGGGAGGCCGGTTGGCCTCGTAGTAAGAACACAGAACTGCTGTGTTCACAGCATGGCCAAGTGGCCCTCTGGGAATTTCTCCCAAGAGTCCAGGAAGTCAGAGTTATTTACATATGCTAAAGCATAATCTGCCCTTCTCATTTTCCTGGTACTAGAACTGATATTTTCCAAAGTAGCACCCAGACCCTTACAAGCAGTTGTTGGTGCTCTCTGAAATTTACGCTGACTCTTGAGTACCACAGGGCCGTGTGGAGGTGGGCTTGGGGAGGTGGCTGTGCCGGGAGAGTGCTGCCTTTCTGGATGGGGTTAGTGCTTTTAGAAGGGGACCTGCTCGCCCCTTCACCTGTGAGGCCACATGGACTGTGCCGTCTGTGAGGAATGGCCCTTCGCCAGGTTCCTAGATGTGCTGGTACCTTGGGCTTAGACTTCCCAGCTGCCAAACTGGAAGTAAAAACATCCGGATGTTTATAAATTGTCCACATGAAGATATTTTGTGATAGCAGCCTGAATGCAATAAAACAAATTACGAAGCCAAACGGTGTAAGTAGCTGTCCTGTTCCTTGCCACACGTT